CCCACTACCGCCACCGGCGCCATTTATTCCACCACTATGGTTCCCTCCGTGGATCCCTCCATTTCCTCATCCCTTCTACCCTCCAGTAATCTACCAATGTCCGTGCTGGAACTCACATTATTTGATGCCCTTTAACATGGGTTACTAGACGTTTAAATTTATAACAATTATTATTATTTGGTTTATGAACTTTACGATAATAAGTAGGTATAAACTACTTTAAAACCTGTTACAATGCAGAAGTATTGAAGAGTTGTTAGTTATTACGTGAAAAAGAATGGACAAAGTTAAGATATCAGACGAAGATGTTGTTTGCCTGGCCAGTAAGCAGCAAATTCCTAATAATTTAGACTTGAAGAACATGAAGGACTCGAACAATAGTGCTTATTTTAGAACTAAATCCACTCGGATTTGTTAACATTCAAATCGTAATGTTAGAGAACACTCTTTTTAGGAGAGGAGTGTGTGACGTGACCAATTTAGATCACTCTGTCTTGGGTACGCTGTAGAAAGACAGTCACGTGACGAAGCAGCATGCTTGAATTTTGTACTTTTTACTAGCTTTATAAAAACGATATTTAAACCGACAAAATGTAGTATTTCGCGTAATAGTTGAACGGGTAACACTAGCAAAGTTTCATAGCGTAAAGTCATTTGCAAAGTTGGTCTTTGCAATAAATTTACAAGCGAGCAAAGTTTTGCAAAATTTACCTTTACGCATGATTTTACAACATCTTTACATATTGCGATCACGGCAATGGCTCTTAAACAGCGGGTGTAAAGGTATTGGTAATTTTCATAATTGCAAGTGGGCAAAGTTAAGCAAATTTGGTAAATTTAATTTTTGCAACAACTTTGCCATTTACTTTACGCGTGCGTAAATCTGTCTTTTCGTCCCGTGAAAGATCAAGACAAACTCAATGTATAGGTATAAAAATATTTCAACTGTTTTATAATAATATATGGAGTTCAATAATCGTTTTAAACATACACAAATACTTTTCATACTTTTTATATGTTGCTTGAGCCTTGAGGCAACGCTTTTGAAACTACAGTTGTCGACAATTATTTATTTTAGGCCATATCAGTACAGTTCATCGACAACTAGATACTTGTCTTTTGAAATACATAAAAACCCTTCATTTACTTTGAAGAAAAGCAAAACCCGATGAAGAATGAACTATCATTTTGTAATCTGATGAGATATTTGCAAAACAGTGATTCTCAGAGCAAAAACGTTTTATAAGAGTAATTTATGATTACGCGATTTTCACCGATTTTGTAAATGCACAACTGATATAGCACTTACATTTGCAAGTGCCTTCAAAGAACGTAATACAGTATTTCAAAATTTATCTTCAAACTGCAAATAATACAGCAAGAAAAAAATTTCGACGAAGAAAACTTAGTTTTAGCTTTGATTGCATGTTTTTATCCTTTGTAATCCTCACACCTATATAGTCAAATTCAATATGGCGGATTTGAAAGGGCATGCTTGAGAAAAAGTGGAGACATGGTTCGTCGTCAAGCAAGCATTCATATCTATTATTTCTATGCCTAATAAGAATGTAATATATTTTAAAGGATGCATGAAACGTCAAAAACAAATTTACTTTGTATCAACGCTCATGCGGAGAATAAATCCGTGCCACAATTTGTGAGACATAAGTGCTTAAGAACAATTCCGACACTTTCCCACAATAATTCTAAGAATGTCCGCAACCGAAGTGTGACGTAATATATACACCCGCAACAAAAACCATAGTTTAACTGTTTCGCAGATTTTTATGTCGTACTATATAATATGGAGTTCTTGCATTCATTTTGGAATGTATAGATTGGAAATGTATTCACAGTGAATGCATAAGTGGCTATATAGGTTTACCTTGTTATTGGAAATATAAAGGACATTTTTTAGTGTAACCGCGATGAAATGACTTTTGCTGTTTTGGGAAATGCGTTTACATTATGGTATTCCTGACACTTCCAAGTGTTGTATAGGCAAGTGAACAGAACATCCTGTATTAAAATTCAGTAAGAACTAGTGAAGTTCAATTCTGACATATTGAATTGGACAAATGTTTTCTTGGGGGAAATGGCAAGTTCAGAGAGGAGCTGAAATCAACTGAAGTCTGTAGTGACCATAATCTTCTAGTTGAAAATATTATAGCCCAGCAAATAATTTTTGAAACAGGCAAATTCAAACATTGATTGAAATTCATGTATGAAAATTATAAACTATACATATTAAACGAAATAAACAAGATATACCAATAGACCTAACCAGGAGCAGCTAAAAAAATGCATTTACAGTATAAACTGTATAGGCCCCCTGGCAAAAATCGAACCTGCGAAATGCAGGTTACATAAGCCCTTAAGAAGCTAGAATCGGTAAATTGCAGTCTCGCCACCCCTTTGTGGTTGGTCAACGGCTTAAAGAATCGGGAATTCAATGTTGTGTGCAAGTTAGCAGCCGTTCGTGGGGAGGAACAACACAAGAAGCGGCTGCAAGGGAGACTAGCCAATCTCCTGTGAAATATGCTTTAACTCGGGTTAAGCTGACATGCTTTCAAACAGCCGGCTCAGCGAATGAATCTCAAATTTTCATGAGTAGTTTTTCTCAATGATAATTTTAAAAGGTTCAGCTTTGAAAACAAAATTTACGTTGTATGTTTCCTTTAAATAAATGTCCATATTACCTTGCGAAGACTTCTCTGAACTGCATAATTCCTTGTGAGCAAATACCACAATCTATCATTTTTAACTTCGTACTTGAGATATTCTTTGTGATACTCTGTCCCAGAACCAAACATCTCCAATAACCCTTCTTTTTCGAATGACGTCATTAAATTTTTGAATTCATCCTTCCTTTTCATCGATTTTTTATTGAATATTACATTTGATATTCCAGTTAATATTCTGCTATTTTCTTTTTTGAAATCACAGTAAATGGAGTTAATTTTATCGATATCATTAAAACGTAGAACAAAACGCTGACGGTCCTCTTTTAATGTAACCAATTTCCGAGCTTCAGTATGCTTTGCGAGATGATCACAAACGAAGCTGGCGAACAAAACATTCGGCTTAATTTTTGAAAGTGAACCTATGAAATTAAAAACATAGAATGTTAGTTGATAAATACTGATTTAGTATAATAAGTGCAAAACTGCACTGAATTTTTACACTGGCGAGGGTAATAATCTCTAATATCCATATGCAGACGAAAAGCAATTGCATTGTATGACTCTGAACATATCATGAGCTAAAAGAAACAGTTTTGGATAAACCAAAAGAGGGGCCAGCTCAATTAATTTTCCCTTCCTCGCCATTAATGGGTATTCTCCTTTATATATTTGGCTCACCAAATTGCCGTTTAAGTTTGGCAAGTTACCAAATGCGCCCGGCCCCGATACCATATAGTTAGGTATAGTCGAGTCATTAGTAAGTAAGTTAATCTCTTCAATCCATTTCCCCTGTGTAAAGAATGGCAAAGGCTGCTATCTAATTTTAAATTACCCCGCCTGCATGTACATGTACATCAAAAGAATGGAGAAACCCGATTTGATTAAGATTCTTAAATATCTTTCAAACATCATTAATAATTCATAAGCTTATTGGCAAATCATGTCAACCATAATATGTCACCTGAAGAGGCTTTATACCTGATAAACCTCATTTGTCATTAGTATTCTTTATATAAAAGTACATTGAAGGGCTTGAATCCGGGTTCTTCCGTTAATTTAATTTATTGTACGATCACCCAGATTAAAATTGTTTCCGACGTTTCGGCTACCTATACAGCAGCCATTATCAAAGACGTATTACAGTTACAAAAAATTCACAGTTATAATAATTTTATCTTGCGTCAAAATGACGTGCGCGTCATAAACGATCAACATAAGCGATCAACAGAGAAACAAGACGTGGGGAATAGAATTGCGGTTCATCATATTATTATTATTATTTAAACATATTTATCCACGGTAACCTTTCAGTTGCCTGTTTTTCAAAGGGCCGTGGTCTAAAACTATTAAAAAGATATAAAACTAAATCTAAACCTAAAGTATAACACACTAACATTAATTCAAATTGAAGTATAACATGCAAACGACCTTACAATGCAAGTAAACATTCGATAAAATTTCGGGAAAATTTCGCTATCTTAGCAATTTTTAATAAGCCTTTTGAACTGATTCAATGAAAGATGCTCATGTTCCTCGAGAATTTCGTTTGGAAGTTTACTCCATGACACTGCTGCGCGGTAGGAAAAACTTTTCTTAAGGAAGTTAGTGTTTGGTTTTGATAAGTGAAGTTTTCGTTCGTTACTTCTCAATGCATAATTATCGTTCTGGGATATAGTAAACATTTCTGTTAAATATTTTGGTGTCATTTTGTTAATTGCTTTAAATGTCATTGTTTGTTCACGTTGTTCGAGGATATTTGCAATGGGCTCCCAATTCAATCTATTTAAGATCTCTGTTGATCTTATTTCATACCCTGAGTTAGTGATAACACGTGCTGCTCTTTTTTGTAATTTACTTAATTTGTCAATGTGGGTGATATTTCCGTTGTGCCAAACTGTTGAGCAGTAAGTGAAATGTGGTAGGACTAGTGAATTGTACATTGTAATAAGGGCATTTTCTGTCAGAAAACTTTTTGCTCTTCTCAAAAGTGCAATGTTTTTTGAAATTTTTGCACATTGATTATCTATATGGTTATGCCAATTAAGTTGTTCGTCAAGAACCACTCCTAGGAATTTTTTGTTAGAAACTCTCTTTATCATATGATCTCCTATTAATATGTCAGGATCTGAATTTATTTGATTAAGCCTTTGTCTCGAACCAACAACCATATATTCTGTTTTCTCAGCACTTAAAGTTAGTTTGTTAGCTAACAGCCAATTATGAACACTGTTCAAGTCTGAGTTAATTTTTTGTTGAATGTCAGTTGCTAATTTTCCGTCACAGGATATATTAGTGTCATCTGCAAACATTGATGCTTTTGTAGACCTTAAGCAATTTGGTAAGTCATTGATGTAAAGTAAGAAAAGCAGTGGTCCTAGATTTGAACCCTGAGGGACTCCGCAAGTAATTGTAGCTCTATCTGATATTTCGTGATTAATTTTGCAAACTTGCTTTCTCCCTCTCAGATATGAAATAAACCATTGTAATGCTTTCCCTCGTACTCCGTAAAGCTCTAATTTTGAAATGAGTATGTTGTGGTCCACAGTGTCAAATGCTTTTTTGAGATCAGGAAACAGTAGACCATTAATAAGGCCCTGGTCCATATTTACAAGACATTGATTTACAGAATGTAAGAGTGCAGTCTCTGTGGAGTGTTGAGTGCGAAATCCAGATTGATTTGTGGATACTATCTGGTGAAATTCTAAAAAATTATTTAGTTGCCTAGAGACCAGCTTTTCAAAAATTTTTGCTACTGCTGATGTTACTGAGATAGGTCTGTAATTATCGCAATCCATCTTGTCCCCTGATTTGTAAAGAGGGGTTACCTTAGTGTGTTTCAAATCGTCTGGAAAAATTCCAGTGTCGATAGATAGATTAAAAATTTGACTTAAGGAGCCGATAATGGTCTCCCCGGCTGCTTTTAATAGTTTGTTTGAAATTTTATCCAAACCTGTTGATTTCCCGGCTTTTGCTTTAAATATCTCGCATCTTAATTCATCCATTGTTATATTATTTAACTCGAATACCTCAGTCACTGGTGTCACGTAGTTAAGAGGGTCGCTATTGTTGCAAGATAAATTCTCACTCAATTTTTCACCAATTGTAGAAAAATAATTGTTGAATGCTGTT